GGGGGGGGAAATAGATACAGGATGGTTATGATGAATGTGCCCAAGCAGCTTGTCGTCAGTTTGCATTTATTGCTGTACTGTTTTGGTTAAGTATAACTTAACGATTGATATTAAATAAAAATGTTTTTTTTAAGTCATGGAGAAGAGTCTTCAGAAGCAATGTCATTTTTAAAGCCCATGTATCAATTCTCAATTGACAGTTACATTTTTTATCTTTAATAACATCAACGGGTTAATTGCAAATCATAGCATTATTTTCATGATACTAAGTCTAATTATCCTTATTCTAAATAAACCGTTCTTTTTAAAACTGGTTAAATTTTCTATTTTGAGATAACAGCTCTTCTGGTATCTATCTACTAAGTTGTGGAAACAATTTCAAGCTTAACACTTTTTCAGACAACATATTGATGTTCAAAGATCTCTAATTTGTCAAAAGTTTATAAATACTGATGATTTTTATTATTAAGAAATGGGAACTCCTAGTTTCTAACTGAAACAAATGTACAACAACTGCCCACTCTTATTTGAAGCTACTCGAATACTGTTTAAAATAGACTGAGACAGGCATAATTGGAGATCAAAACAAAATAAGGAAACTACAATCGATAGTAACTCTTTCAAGTTAGGGTCCTATTCCTTTTTTCATATTTTTTATCATCTCTAATCAGGGAAAATTATGATATTTGCGGATAGCTGGGTACCGCCGGAGACCAGGGAATAAAAGTTTACTTACTAACTAAACTAATGACTTTCCTAATTTGTGTTCGTAGACTGAGAAAATCCAACTGCACCTTGCCACTTTTTCCAGGTCACAAAGGAGAGGCACTTTCTACCCAAGACACACAGGCAGAAAGATGATCATGCAAGTTGCTTGGATTGCATTTGTTGTTCCCTTGTGTCAGTTCGTCTGGAGAATTTAATTCTACTGACTGGAAAGTTGACAATATCAACGTGGTTCCAGTAACCAGCAAAAATAGCTTTTAACTCGTATGCGTCTTTTCCAGTCTTGTTTAGAGTTTACAACATAGTGTGAGGTTGTGAGCGATGAGCTCTTTTCCTTTTGGCTGTTGTCTGACGTCGTTGCTCAGCCTGTCTCTGGCGTGATGAAAGGTTTTCTAACGCTTTTCTAAATTCCAGCGTTCGTATGGCGTATACAAGAGGATTCACTATGGAATTAGCAAAGTAAATCACTGCCAGCATATCATAGATGTGAACACTTGTTGCCTTGTCCCATTTCTGCTGTATGTCCTTAGGAATGGATTTCTAAATAGTCCAGGGGAGAATGGTCAGAACAGAAACCCCAGTGACTATGAATAATGTTGTTGATAGTTTCTTTTCAGTTCGTAATACACCAAAATTTTGTAAATGAGGGCTTTTTCGAACATTTAAAAGAATAATGAGATAAGAGACTGAATAATGGAACAAGGAAAGTGACAGCACAAAATGATGCCCAAGCGTGGGCAAATGCTGTGTCTGGTTGTTTCAAATGCAAGCCGGCCATGAGCGAACCCAAAAGTAAAGTTATAAACCAGCTACCTATCATAAATTTAAAATAAACCCAATTTCTGATTAAAGAATGCTTAAAAGGAAAAAGTGTTGCATGTAGCCGCTGAGAAGTGGTGTTTCCCTCCACCCTTGTGGTACACGTACAGTGGTCCTACAACGGCGCCCAACGATAGATCAGCCACAGTCAGGTTTATTATGAAGTACGTACTGCGCTTGCGTAGATGGCGAATCCGCTCAAAGGCAGTGATAGTCACAGCATTGATAATCGATATCACAAGAGACTCAGTGATTAGGACTGGAAACCAGTTCGTGTCTCGTTTTACAGGAGAATCTTCACTAGTCATTTCTGTCAACGAAATGTAATAGTCTTTGTCTTGTTAGTATTCCAGTACAGCTACGAATATAATAATGATAATAATAATGATAATGATAATGATAATGATAATGATAATAATAGTAATATTAATAAAGACTAACTATCTTTAGTTTACATGACGATTAGATAAATTTATGTTGATTTTATGTACGCTTTCTCAGTATTTCTACTTTTTTTTACGAATGATCATGAATTTCTTTTATTTACCTTAACGTTGTCTATGACTCCAAACAAATTAAACTTAATTTATTTAGTTGTAACAGATGCACTTTGCAAGGATTAAAAGCGCTTTATAACTCCCATGTTGTGACAATTTAGAATTTTGCAGGTGATAAAGAAAAATCCAGACTGCTTTATACCGAATGAATAATGGCTTATCACGAATAATGGAACAACAAACTTTATCAAATTGCGAAAAAGCTGCGTTTCATCTCATTTAACTAAAGAAATGATCATCAATGTTTTAAATCAACGTTTTGTGATCTGATTAATATGAATACTATAATGCTAAAAGAAGGAGATGTTTCTCCGGCAAAGTTAACTGAATTTTAAGAATATTCCGTATTATCGTAAATTTACAACATGGCACGGCGGTCAGTCGGAAAGCCACATGTAGGATATGTTGCTTAAAACTGCCATTTTCGGACGCGCAAGAAGAAGAAAAAACGTTAATAAACCAGCTTCATAAAAAGTGATTTCAAAAAATGCAGTATTCTTCGTATTTTGTTTTCCAATTATTTTTCAGACTAGTTGAGTATGACTAGTTGACTAACGCAGAATAAATGGGTGACACTTTTTTACAGACGTTTTTACTTTGTTTTTATCAGGAAGGATCACATAAGTTTTACAACGAAAGTGTTTGACAAAGTGTTTGAAGAAGCCACAGATGTGCTTTATGTGTTTATGTCAACTGCCCTTGCGAACAGAGGCGTCTGTTCGGCAAAACATTCTTACGTGGGCTTCTTTTTTAATTCTTCTTTCCTGGTGGAAGACTTTCACTTACCTCTTTTCTTCACTACGCAACTTCCCTCAGGATTTAATAAAGTGAAACTTCAGGCTGGTAAATATCCGGCTACTTTTCCGCTATTGTTCTGGGCACCAGATGACATTGATTTGCATACATGAATTTTCTTTATGTTTTAGTCTGTCAGCAGAGAATCAACCTATATTACCGAAAACATCAACTTTTAGTTTCTGAATTTAATTTGGCTTAGTTTGGAATCTTAAATAAAATTTCCCGCCGATTGCTAGCCCACAGCAGAGTTTCGATGGCGATCTGAAATGAGACAATCAATAATAAAACCACAGGATGGCCCAGCTGTCAGTGATCCTAAGCAGAAAATGCACCATCGCCAATCGTTTTATGGCCATTTTGGAGCGGCAAGGTGCGCGTGGAGTTGTGGGTCTATTTCTCCGCTTAACCCCAGTCTCCACATTCTCTGCCGTTTCTTGGCCTCCCGACCAATTACAAAGGAGATTGGGAAGAGGCGGAGGCGGTAAAATAGTTAAAAGGGACGCTACCTTTTGTCGTCGATAAAACCCCTTTTTTGTCAAAAGCTTAATTTTTATCTTAATTGATTTCTATCTTAATTTTATATTCATTGTTATATCCTCAATATGCTCTACGAGTTAACCACAAAACATCATTGCCTTTATGTGCAAATTAAATCATCTTATTTACTGCTGCACTGATGACATTGGCCTGAGGTAATGAAAGTGCCGGACCGAGCGTAGCATGGTCAAGACACGTACTATTTGTGAAGCACACAGTACGTGTTAAAAGTTTCTACATCATGATCATATCTCATTATCAACAAAAAATTCCAATTCCTAACTCTGTCATCTTTAGACCAAACGATGAAACACAGGGGAAAACTCAAGTGGTTGATTTGTTGACCTATCGAAAAGATTAGTTCAGTTCAGTGTTCAGAATTTTTGCTGGAAAAACGCCAGATTCCTTCCAAGGAGCAGAAGCAAGTAGATTTGTCCTTTATTGGCGTGGCTCAATTTTTATATCTCTGTCTTTGCTTGGAATATTTTCTCCAATGTTGGGAAAAGTTCATATCGTCAATATAGTTTGAGTGACGTGGAAAGGTTTNTAAGCAGAAAATGCACCATCGCCAATCGTTTTATGGCCATTTTGGAGCGGCAAGGTGCGCGTGGAGTTGTGGGCCTATTTCTCCGCTTAACCCCAGTCTCCACATTCTCTGCCGTTTCTTAGCTGCCCGACCAATTACAAAGGAGATTGGGAAGGGGCGGAGGCGGTAAAATAGTTAAAAGGGACGCTGCCTATTGTCGTCGATAAAACCCCTTTTTTGTCAAAAGCTTAATTTTTTTTATCTTAATTGATTTTTATCTTAATTTTATCTTCATTGTTATATCCTCAATATGCTCTGCGAGTTAACCACAAAACATCATTGCCTTTATGTGCAAATTAAATCATCTTATTAACTGCTACACTGATGACATTGGCCTGAGGTAATGACAGTGCCGGACCGAGCGTAGCATGGTCAAGACACGTACTATTTGTGAAGCACACAATACGTGTTAAAAGTTTCTACATCATGATCATATCTCATCAATATAAAATTCCAATTTCTGACTCTGTCATCTCTACACCAAACGATGAAACACAGGGGAAAAACTGAAAAGTTGATTTGTTGACCTATCAAAAAGATTAGTTCAGTTCAGTGTTCAGAATTTTTGCTGGAAAAACGCCAGATTCCCTCCAAGGAGCAGAAGCAAGTAGATCTGTCCTTTATTTGCGTGGCTCAATTTTGACATCTCTGTCTTTGTTTGGAATATTTTCTCCAATGTTGGGAAAAGTTCATATCGTCAATATAGTTTGGGTGACGTGGAAAGGTTTTAGCTCATCTTGTCTGTTGTTTACAGTTTACGGCACAGCATGAGCTCGAGGCTTTAAAGGATGGTCTCTAGTGGGCTCCCCACTTTTAGAAACAAGGTTTCGTAAGGCTCTTCTAAACTCCTGCATTCTAATGGCATATATAAGAGGATTGACCATGGAACTTGCGAAATAGATCACAGTTAGTGCATAATGGATTTCAAGAAGCCTTG